TAAAACTCTGATGGGTGTCGGTGTGAAGGTGAGTAGAACAGGTGTGTTTGCTAATTTGAATATCTGCTTATTCAGACCAACGCTTTCTCTCTAACTGTTGTAAAATATTTCGTGGATCTAATCAATCAAAGGCAAACAGGTGAAGGTCTGTTAGGGAGTAAAACTAAGATAAAGTATTTGGATACATTTGTATTCAGACTAACTGCAGACTTCTAGTAAACTCACATCTTTATTGTAACTCATTTGTTTAAGGTAGATTTGACTGAACTGCCTGAACTTTATCAGTTTACCTTTTTTTCATTTTATTAACAGTCATTTTACTATCTTTATTTTACTGTTATTTTATACTTATAATTATTGATTTTTATTCTCTTGATTCACTTACATTATTTAATTTACTGTAATAAGTTTCTCTCTGGGTCTTTTCCTATTACGGTATGTTTTATTTGTCTTGCTACTGAAATGTGTTATTTTATGTTTAGGTTTATTGGAGCCACAGCTTTGTCTCCAACTGACTAGGAAAATACTTCATTTCACTGTTAACTTATCAAAGTGAGGTAAGCAGCTGAATGTTTGTTCACTTATCAAAGCCTTTGCTCTGGTTTGCATTCAGACCAGCTGCAGGCGTGTTGGAGCGCCCCCCGAAGGCTCTAATGTTACACGTCTGTTAAAGCGTTGCTTTCCTCTCGGAGGATGGAGGAAAAGCAACGACAGCCGGAACCAGAACTAGGAGCTCAGAGACATTCAGTTAAATACTAAGGTGGACAAACTGGACTTTTCTGCTCCAGGTCCTAAAGGACCCTCCTCTTCCTCCTCTTCCTCCTCTTCCTCCCTTGGAGCTTAATGTTCTGTTAAAGCTAATTTTTTTTCTCAGGTTCCTAAACATATCAGATGATTTTCCTCCATCCAGGTCCCCATTTAAGCTCCACTGCAGCAGCTCAATGATGCAAAACTAGACTGAAAGAGAAGCTTAAAACATTGAAGCCAAACATCCAGCTGATCATTGTGGCTGAAAACAGCCAGAAACACCTAAAGGGCCCCTGGGGGCCTGAAGATCTGGGTCCTCAGTAGACAGGAGGGCTGGATCAGAACCTTAGGTCCATCAGCTCTGGTCCGGTTCATTGGAACGGACCCAAAGATTCAGAAAAAGACGTTTCTCTGCTGTTTCAGCAGCATTTTATCAGAGTTAGGAGGGATTCTTTGTTAGGAAATAACAGTTTAACCAAAGTTATTTTCAGCACTATGAATAAATCCATGTAAACTCAGCAGTTTATTGATAGAACATCAGGAAACCTGCAGAGTTTGTTAGTCTGCTGGGATTTTATCTGGAACTGGGAGCTCTGGTCAGACTCACATGTTTCCACCTTTCCTCTCTTTATTCCAGGGACACCGTTTGAAGGAGCTGGAGGCCTCATCATCCATGGGAGGTTTGCTCTACAAGAAGGAAACTGTGAGATGGATCCAAAGATGGCGGATCACATCACTGAAACGGGACCCTTTCTGCCTTTTAGTGGTTTGAATAATTATATGTCTGGGAGCGTTCATCTACCTCCTGCTGAGAAACAACTATTCTCGGTATTTTCCTTCCAAAGTGAGGACATGCTCCTGGTCCTCTCCATTTAGAGGGGATTTGGTTTAGGAATATGGTGTTAATCCAGTTTAGATCAGGATCAATGCTAGACCATCCAAGGGTTGGAAATGAATGGAAGTCAATGAGAGGACTGTTAGTGTGTAAAACTCTGATGGGTGTCGGTGTGAAGGTGAGTAGAACAGGTGTGTTTGATAATTTGAATATCAGTTTATTCAGACCAACGCTTTCTCTCTAACTGTTTCGTGGATCTAATCAATCAAAGGCAAACAGGTGAA